TGTGTGTGTGTGTGTCCTCTTTTGAGTCTTGCCAGTGTGAGATTATCTATTGCCTGTGTCTTTGTGGGTACAGCTAACTTATTTGGGTTGGAGTTTTCCTTCTAGTACTTTCTATAGGGCTGGATTTGTGGATAGGTATTGTTTAAATCTGATTTTGTCTTGGAGTATCTTGTTTTCTCCATCTATGGTGATTGAAAGTTTTACTGGGTATAGTAGTCTGGGTTGGCATTTGCTGTCTCTTAGTGTCTGCAAAACATCTGTCCAAGACCTTCTGTCTTTCAGAGTCTCCCATTCAGAAGTCTAGTATTATTCTGATCTGCCTTTATATGTTACTTGCAGTTCTTAATATTTCTTTATTCTGTATATTTAGTGTTTTGATTATTATGTGTCCAGGTCTTTTTTTTTTTTTTTTTTTGGTCCAGTCTGTTTGGTGTTCTGTAAGCTTCCTGTACCTTCACAGGCATGTCCGCTTCTATGATTTTGTTGAATATATTTCCTGTGCCTTTGAGCTGGAATTTGTCTCCTTCTACCCCTATTATTCTTAGGTTTAGTCTTTTCATGGTGTTCCAGATTTCCTGAATGTTTTGTGTTAAGAATTTGATGAATCTATTTCCTCTAGTGCATCTTCAACATCTGAGATTCTCTCTTGTGTTTTGTATTCTGTTGTTTATGCTTGATGTTGGTCCTGATCATTTACCGAGATTTTCCTTTTCCAGAATTCCCTCAGTTTATGTTTTCTTGATTGCCTCTATTTCCAGTTTCGAGTCTTGAACTGTTTCCTTCACCTGTTTGATTGTTTTCCTTGGCTTTCTTTAGAGGATTTATTGATTTCTTCCAATTTTTTTGTTTGTCTTTGCCTTGATTTTTTTTTTTTTTTGTTGTTGTTGTTGTTTTTGGAGACAGGATTTCTCTGTATTGCTTTGGAACCTGTCCTGGCACTCACTCTGTAGACCAGGCTGGGATGTTGAGGTCTTGCTGTTTTAGAAACACTCGGTTCTGATGGTGCCACATTGCTCTAGATGTTGCTGAATGTATTCTTATACTGCCGTTTACCCTTCTGGGTTTGGGATAATTATAGGTACAGGTGTTGATTTTTTTTGATGTCTTTGTTGAATGGGTCTTTTGTTCCTTCCTTGTCTGTTTCCTTTATTGTCTTTTGGCCTGAATGGTCAAGGGTTCTGGTAGTTGACTAGTTGTCAGATCTAGTAGGGCTGTCTCAGCTGAGGTTTGTGGGCGTCTGGGTGCCTAGATCGAGCTTATCATCCAGTTCTTTTGGATGGTGTATGCTTTTATGTGTGCCTTGATCTTTCAACTAGTGTGAATGGTGTTTGTGCCTCTAGGGGCTGCTGATCTTGAGGATGGTTGGCCAAGGGGAGAATGATGGGGTTTGGTGGGTTTGGGCTGTGGAGTGAGACTTGTAGGTTACAGTGGCAGTGGTGGAGTGGCCGGCCCGCAGGACTCTCCCTGCTGCCTTGCTGCTGGGCAAAACATGTTGTTTTATAGTGTGCTCTTTAGAGCCCTGAAAATTCTTGGGGTAAGTCCGAGGTCCTTGTAATGGTTAAAAACATTCGATTCTTTTCTTCTCTCAGGTCCTTCAGAAAAGTGTGGTTATTGGAGTGATTGAAGGTGGAGATGTGATGGAAGAGAGGTTGAGGTCCGCACGAGAGACAGCCAAGCGGCCCGTGGGGGGCTTCCTTCTGGACGGCTTTCAAGGGAATCCCACAGTCACTGAAACCAGGCTGCACTTGCTGTCATCAGTCACCGCAGAGCTGCCAGAGGACAAACCAAGGCCAGTGCTGGATTAGGATGCAGGCCAGCCTCATGGGAGGTGGCAGGGGTGCTGGGGACAGTGTGATGCAGTCTACACAGGGTGTGCTTTCTGTGTCTTGATTATGTCCTTCCTGTCTTACTCTTCGGCCAGCTGGGCATTTCCATTGAGGCTCCTATCCTGGTTTCAGAATGTAGAGGGGTAGAGTTGCAACGAGATTGGTTTATTTGATCCTCATAACTGAGGACAGATGTTACCTTGTATCCTCTTGCTATTGAGCCAGATACAGAGACTTCTTTTTATTTGATGTAACATGGTACCTGGAGACAAGTGTAAAGTCATGTGCACTTTAGTTTAAATCAAGGCATGTTGAAATCTGCAGTGCCTAGTGGCATGAGGATATGCTCTGTTAATAAGGGCCTTCAAGGGCCTTTCTGCTTTTGTAATAGTGAGTGGCATTGTTTTGTGTTTTGAATTGATGTAATTAGTAGGGTTGGTTCTTTTGTTTACATATATCTCAGTACTGCAGTGGTGACAGAGTTGAGAGGATCCCCCTGATGTCACACTAGTACCTAAGTGTAGGGAGAAACCCTGATTAAAGGTGCCGCTGACCACGCCTGCTTAGGCGTGGTCACAGATGGATAACAAGGGTTTAAGAAGGAGGGAGGCATGCACTTGGCTCTCTTTTTTTGCCTGGCTGAGCTGACTGGGAAGCACTTCTGGGTCCATCCTGCTCAGGTGCAAACCTGGTTACTGGCTCCCTTGCGTGAGTATTTTTCCCCAATAAACTACCGGTTATCAGCCTATCTCTGACTCCACTTTGTAACCATCTATAGATACTTACGTTAAATCAGAGAAGTTCGGTGGGTTTGTTGTGTAGCTATGGTTCATGGTGATAATATTTATTGAAAACTGAACAGATTGGGAATTGAGTGTTGTCACCAGAAAAATGGTAATTATATGAGATAATGCATTTGTCATTTGGCTAGATTGACCCATTTCATGGTGTCTACAGATTCCAAAATACATTGGAAAAATACATACAATCTTGTATGTCAGTTTAAAAAAGGTTTTTGTTGTTGTTGTTTTTGTTGTTTGTTTGTTTAGTCTTTTATCCTTACTGTGAATATTCTTGCCTTTTAACCTGTGGTATCTTGGGATTTTGGCTCTGAGATGCTATTTTGTTCTCCAGGGCTATATAGGACAGGACGTATGTAATCTTAGTACTTTTTGAGCCCGATATAATTGCATGCTTGTATCTTAGAGACAGCTAAGTGAATCACACCTGTGTACACGGATGTCAAGATCCCCCAGAACAGGATCTCGCAGCATCCTGCACGCACACACACCCCAATTTTTAACATCACCCCCCTCACTGTGCTGCAGATGAACAGCTCAGCATGAGCTTTTCTAGTCATTTTCTGGACTTTTTGTGCTAAGTGTTCACAGATGTCTCTTTCTGAATTTGAAAGCTGGGATTGTTTTTCTCTAAGTGTGTAGAAATGCCAGCTTCAGTTGGAGTGGAGCTCTGAAACTCACAGGACTTGAAGGAGGCTGTAGTCAGGCAAGTTGGCATACATATAAGGGTTCTGCTTGTTTAATATTATATAAGCCCATCTTTAAAAACCTCTTAAGAAATCAGAAAGTATGAAAGCTTTTCTCCTCTAATTCATGAAAGGGGCTATGGGTAGAAAAACAAACAGTAAAAGAAGAAATAGTTGCAGCTAGCCAGTCCTAATCACGTACATCTCCGCATCTTGCCTTCCTGTCAAAACCTGCTGGAAAATTATTAATAGTCCCAGACTGCCTTAGTCCTTCCCTTGGAAGACAGCATTTTATTTCCCAGTGCAGACTTTCATTAGCAAAGAAAATATGAGGAAAGCCAGCTAGAGTTTTAGACCCTGGAGTCAGTGCCGAAATTCTGAGAGCAAGAGGAACTATTGAATGAACCTGTAAAGTGCAATCAAAAATGGAAAACTAAAGCAAATTGTATTCCTTTCCAAACATCTGTGCAGTGTTTAGACAGGGTGTGAAGTTGAGTCTGTGACCAGGGAGGTGGATCAGAAAGATGGGAATGGAAAATGTTAGAAATGATACTGTTTGCTTTTCAACTGCCTCCTCCGGCCTTGTGATGATTTGTGGAGATCTTTATAATTGCTCTTGGTTTGAAGTGAACAACCAGGACAGGGATGGAAAGGAACGGCCCAGAGCAACACCGCGATTACATAGCCAGTGGCCCCGGGTGTCAAGCACATGTCCCTTTCCTTCAGAGTTTCAAGTCCTGCCTCACATTACGGCCCATGCCCGCCACCCTGAGCTTGAGCTTGGTGCTGCTTTGTTGTATGGTTGTATTTAATGCCCCGTTGATTTGGAAGCATTCTCTGATTTCTTTCCAACCATTGCCTCACATTACTGTTCTCATGACTGTCTTTGCAGGCTCATCTGCGGTGTAAGCCGGCCAGATGAAGTGCTCGAGTGTGTTGAAAGAGGAGTGGACTTGTTTGAGAGTTTTTTCCCATATCAAGTGACGGAGCGGGGCTGTGCCCTGTCTTTCACCTTTGATTGCCAGCTGAATCCTGAAGAGACATGTGGGTCTTTGATGTTCCTCACCCTTAGCTTTCAGTTTCTCCTATTTCCTGTGACTTTTTGGCCCAAGCCGCACAGCACAAATATGTACACGTCGCACCAGCCTTTCATTAAAGGTCCATCTTGATTTCTTCTTTGTGTTCCCTGGGATGTTGGCACCTAGGGCAAGGCACTTAATACTATATGTGTAGGGCATCAATATTAGGATCTGATTTTTGTGGTGAACAAAAACAGAACCTCCTTTGTTCACAGCCCGAATAAAAGAAAATTCAGAGTAAATCATGATGAAAATCTAAGGAGAGGAAACCTTTGAACAGCTTAGTAAAAGTTAATTTTTTTTTTTTTTTTTTTTTTTTTTTTTTATCCACAAAAGATTTCTTGTCTCCTTTTTGCAAGCCCCATGCAATTAACTCACAGGGAATCTCACCGTCATTGGATCCTTGTGTCGTCTTTTGCTTTTCTGGGTTGTTTTTTACGTACTGAGATATGAAAGCTACTTTCTTCTGCTAATATTACTTTGAAGTGATGCCATTTTCTTTTATTGTTTGTTCATTTCAAAGTCAGGACAAGCAGTTTCAGATTCTGACACACATGGTAGTGGAAGAGGACCCAGGTCACAGATCATGGGCTACTCCCTTGAAGCATGTCTTCAGGGGTGAGTGGCCCACACAACCCCCCCTCCAGCTTGTGGAGAAGGGTTTCCTTTTTTTTCTCTCACTTTCTTTTCAAGTCTTTAATCATATTTGTGTCTGGTGTACTATAAAATCTGGAATTTTACCTAGTGAAGATCTTAAAAGAAAGTTGCCAGCTCTTTCCCTAAGTGACAAGGATTTTCTACAATGCCAAAGCTTTATTGTGTTTCCATTTCAGCACACAATTCGCGTGAACAATTCCATAGCATTTTTGTACTTAGTGCTTGTGTCGCTTGCTAAAATTACCCATCTAGAACCATCTGGCTATCTCGGATCCACACAGATTGCTATCATTCCTGTCCTGAATACCTCTTCTCTACTTCCTGTGTTCAAGGGAGCGGGATTCTTGTAGGATAGCTAGTCTTCGTCTTGCAGTTCAAGGAAATATTCCTCCCTTAAGCAAGGAGCTCAAGGATACTGTGGGTTCCTTGGAGGGTCAGAGTCCCCAAACAGAAGACATAAATTAAAGCTATGTTCTACATTAATCTACTTGGGATATGTGCTGTCACAAAGCTCAGTTTATTTACATGTCCATCGTAATAAGTCATAGGGATAACCCTCCCTTTTGTTGTTGTTTTTTTTTATTTTTTTAATCATTCCTTTATGTCAAGATTATGTATCATGTACTTAGATCCATGATTATCTTGGACTTGCTTAGATATCTTCAGTTGTTTTGATGGTATAGATAATAGTCTTTGACTATCCGGGAATGTACTGTTATTTGTTTTTTCTTAGGTGACTTCCTTAGGATAATTCTAAGAATGGAGTTACAAGGTTAAAGGTTGTGAAATTATAACCAGAATAAAATTTTTCCAGTGTGTACTCCTTATCTGATTATTCAAGATGTTTTATTGGTTTCCCTTCAGTATTGCAACAAAATGGAATCCAAGAAGAAATAAAATGCTTGGATCAAGTAAAGAAAATTGAAACAACTGGGTGCAACCAAGAAATGACATCATTTGAAATTAATCTGAAGGAGAAAAAGTAAGAAATTTTTTTGAAGTTTAGGTTTTGAATTCTGGCTTTTTAATTTCAGTCTGAAGTTTATGTAACTGTTCCCTTTTCATTTTATGACTTTGTAAAATATTTATAGTTGGACATTACTTAGGCCTTCTCAAATACGGTTCCAGAAAACGTTGTTTTTTCTGCTGTAGATGACTTTGGGTACTTTGTCTTGTCAGAACACTAAGCTAGATAACTTTTGCTTTAGAAAAGCTGTCAGAAAGAGGCTGAATCCATTACTTGATTTTTTTTTTTCAGATTACTTTTAATTACAACAGCAAAATAACACACAGTAGACCTTTTTGTACTTTGAAAAGAGCTAAGTCCCCATGATATGGAGGTTCTAAATGCAGTATCAATGAAGAATGATACCGAGGGAATCATGGTGGGTTCACCGTTAATCCCAGCACTTAGGACGAGGCAAGTCTGAGACCAGCCTTGATCTATCTAGCAAGTTCCAGGCCAGCTGGAGCTACATAGGAAATCTGGCCTCAAAACAAAAACAAAAAGAAGAATATATTGAGTTGTTTTGGAACTTTGCACTTGACCAAAAGTGGGTAGTCACCAGTCTCAGTGCATAGTTTCTCTGTGAGTGTAGTACCTGGTGTATTTGGTTTTTACAAGGAGATGTTTTAGGGGTTCTGACTTATCATGGCGTCTAATAAGTGTAGACCTGAGAATTTATGAAAATATAAAATTCGTACTTCCTGTTTATATTCTATTGTAGTTTCGTGATTGTGGGTCTGAAGTGATAACATCTACATCTTTTAATATTTTCTTTAAAGTAGCCAAGACTATTTTTCCTTTCAAACAAATATTATGGTAATATAAATGCTTACTACTAAAATAGCCTTTGCATTGTAGATATAATTGGAAATTGTAGTATGCTTATTCTTAGTCCTAGGTTGACATTTTGGGGACAAATCCTACTACTGATTTGATTATGTGACCTTGGAAAAGTCATTTCCTTAGTAGGCAATAAAAGATAAGTGTAATAATTAGTGTTACCTAAGTATGATATTTAGTGTATAATATTTAGGTAACAAAAGTAGAATATCAGTGTTAAATCCTTTTTGCTGTATTTTTAGCTCTTTAATAACCTTCACAATTCCAGGGAGGTGGGCTGTTAATATCTTTGTTAATGAATAAGAAACACGTGCACAGCTGGATGTTTAACAGTTGAGTTGTAGAACCCAGACTCAAGCCCCTAGGCAAGGTATCCTGCCAGAATCCTCCTTCTAAATATACAGTAGTAGTCTACATCTGTAAAAGGATAGTCAAAATGGTCATTTCCAAGAGAAGATGCAGACATTGGCTAAAATGGTGGCTGTATGGAGCTTTGTAGGTGTCAGTAAGTTATGAAGGCTGTGTGCTAACTGCTGACACTAGTGCTCTGGAGTGGAGGAGGAGCGTCATTTGCCAGAAGATCATTTCCTAACACCATGTGCCTTGGCACTGGTAATGCTCGTGATGGATGAGTGGCTATTGTGAATGTCTCAGGCCCCAGATTTATAAGGTTGTGTCTGTCAGCATGTCTTTAGCAGGTCCCCAGCAAGGCTGTTAGTACCATTGGTCACTTCTAGTGGACTAAGTAGCCTGTTGCAGATTTCCTTTTTTTTGTTTGTTTTTTTTTTTTTCGAGATACATTTTCTCTGTGTATCCCTAGCTGCCTTGGCTGTCTATTTCTTAGTCTTCATAGTCTTCATTTACCGGACCCTCTCTCTCTCTCTCTTTCTGTCTCAGGTATCAGGAAGATTTTAGACCACTCGTGAATGGGTGCTCCTGTTACTGCTGTAAGAATCACACTCGAGCATACATCCACCATCTGCTCGTGACCAATGAGCTCCTGGCTGGTGTCCTGCTGATGATGCACAACTTCGAACACTACTTCAGATTTTTCTGCTCCGTCCGGGAGGCACTGAAAAGTGACACGCTGGCACAGCTGAAAGAACTCATCCACAGACAAATGTCTTGAGAACTGGAAAATACAAACCTGTCTTGTTTCCAAAAACGGTAAAGACTAGAGATCTGAGCTTTCAGCATTTATGATGGGAATAAAGACCATCTGCCTCAAAGTGCCCATGGGAGTGTGGAGGAAGGCCTTCTAGAGATTGCAGTAGACCAGATTGATCAGGATGATTTGAGCCGTGACTTTTACAATTTTCTAGGCTATTCCACTAGTAGATTCATTAAATTGATGACAAAGCTTTAGATGTAAGAGAGATTTTTGAAAGGATGGTGAGGTTCTAGGAACTACTGAGATGAGTGAGTGGAGATGACTGTGTGAGTAGCTTGTCATCTGGAGGCACAGCTGTTGCCTGGAGAAGAAATCTAACTGATTTGAACAAGGGTTTTTTGTTTGTTTCTCCTTATGCTGTCAGGGGTTTATGGAGAATCTCTATAGTCTTCTTAGGGGACAATTTAATGTCAGCATGTTTTGATGTAGTAAAACAGAATGTCTCCTCCAGGGTCCAACTTTTCCTTGTTAAAAAACATGGCAAATACCAGGCAGCAGTGGCGTGCGCATTTAATCCCAGCACTCCCAGTACTTGGGAGACAGAGACAGGTGGATCTCTGAGTTTGAGGACAGCCTGGTCTACAGATCGAGTTCCAGGACAGCCTCCAAAGCCACAGAGAAACCCTGTCTTGAAAAACAAACAAAATAAACATGGCAAGACATTCTGGTTGTAATTCATCAGTCAAGTAATCCAGGCAACATGGTCTTGGTTCAGAATCCTTCATGACTTTGGGGAACAGCATGGCATCAGAAGCTTTCAGTTCAGCCTGTGAGATATTTGGGCCTCTTCTCTTCAGCTGAGGGTCATGCATTGACTGACTTCCTAGTCTTCTCTCCCAGTGTGATTTCTCTTACAGATAGAAGCAGATCTGCATATTCCATCTCCTGATCAACACTGTTACTCATTTTCTAAGTACTTGCTCTGTTGCCCAGATAAAACCCTTTCCTCAGGCTGACAGCACACACTGACCAACTGGCAGTCTCGGAACTCCTGTGCAGAGGTGTGCTGGGGTGGCCCACATTTTTTTTAATGGATCAATAAGTTTGTTCTGTGGTTTGAAGTGTTTGGTGATTGGCATCTGCAGGTCCTGAGGCTGGTTGTCCTTCCTGGGTTCTCTGTGATTCTGTATTTTTGTTGGTGGTATGACAGGGGTTTTTTGTTTTGTTTTATTTTTTTTTGTATGTGTGCTTTTCTATATTAATTTTTCTAAGGAATACACAAAACATATACATGTGTGTATATATATATGCATGTATATATATAGTTTTTATAAAAATACAATTTAAAATACTCATTTTTTGGGTACAAGAAATGCATTTCTTATATTGGCTGCAATTTATAGTGGGCATTACTGAACATTGTATATAGTAATTATGTAGTTATTGCATTTTTATGTGTTAGAAACCCAACTTTGTTTTTCCATTTAGTGGTATAATGGCTTTGCATCTCAATGGATGCAAAGGGTTTCTGTTCTCAATGATCTGTATTGAATGTATTTTGTACTTGTTTATGTTTATATTCTTGGTCAATACAAACCCATTATTGAAGGAGTACTAAGAATCCATATAAATTTATGAGTTTTATTTATGTCCAAAACACTGAAAATTCTCTTAAACATTGTTCAGGTCCCTAGGTCTTTTTCTTATTAGCACATTTGAAAAAATCTTTTATGTTTTAAATGTGTATAAAGGGCAATAGCCAATAAACATTTTTAATTAAAAAAACAAACAAAAAACCTCCACTGTGTGTTGACTTTTTGTTGGTGGTAGTAAATTTACTAAAGTATTAAATTTCCATGGTACAGGGACTGTCCTAAGGGTTTCTCGTGAGAAAAAACTTGTTCCAGATTTTCTCTTTTGTTTATTATCTAAAGGAATTTTCATGTTGAATTTAAAGGAATGTTACTCAATAATATACATTACCTGCCTCTCTACATTATATACTCTCTGCATTATATAATTAGTGACTCTAAGGCCATGCTAGTGCACAGTGAAAATAAGTTCAGCACAATCTTTGGAGCAGTTTTTAACATCTGTGTCTGCGTTTACAAATATGTCATGACCCATGTGGCAGAGGACAGCTTTCAGGAGTTGTTCTCTCCTTCTACCGCCTAGGTTCTAGGGATTGATCTCAGGATGTCAGGCTTGGGGGCAAGTGCCTTTACTCCCATAGTCACTTCAGTGGCCCCCTTTGGAGCATTTTGCCAAACAACTTAGCAAATGCTTTCATAGTTCATTGACCCTGGGGGTATGTATGTGAGGGGCTATTGTCCCATGTTATGAACCAAGGTTCAGAAGAAGGTTGTTTTAGCCTGCCTGAAAGTCTGCCAGAAATTATGTCACTTCTCAACTCCCAGGTACAATTCTAGCTTCCCCTGAGTAAAACACAACTGTTCACCTTTGTAGCAAATTCTTAGTTATGTGTAGGTGTATTGGCACCTGCCTGTGATTCCAGCACTTCAGAGACATGGAAGGAAGATTGTGAGTTCAGGACCAGCCTGGGCCACATAGCAAGAATCTCCCTCCCCCACTTTCTCCATCTCATTTTGACTTGCTTCTGGGTTGAGGGTACCTAGAGAAAGACTGAAAGGATGGGAGTATCCCAGTGGGAAGCGGTGACCTGACAGATGTGTCCACAGTACCATGCTGATGCCTACAGGTGTTAACATGAATTGTCAATCAGTAGCTACCAATCCCATAGCCCTGCCACAGCTTGAGGTTAGTCACACCCTGAAGATGACTAAAAGGGTTTGAAGCTCAAATTAATGCAGTAGTGTGCTGGCTAGTGTTATGTCAACTTGACATATAAACTAGAGTTATCTGAAAGGAGGGAACTTTCTTTGAGAAAATGCATCCATAAGATCCAGCTATAAGGCACTGTCTTTATTACTGATGGTGAGAGCTTAGCTATTGTCAGCCCATTGTGGGTGGGGCCACCCTAGGGCTTGTAGTCTTGGGTTCTATAAGAAAGCAGGCTGAGCAAATCAGTAAATGGCACCCCTCCATCGCCTGTGTAAACCCCGACTCTTCTAGGACCCTGCCTTGTTTGAGTCCCCGTCCTGACTTCCTTCTGTGATGAACAGTGCTGTGGAAGTGTTAACCTAATAAACACTTTCCTCCCCAACTTGCTTTTTAGTCATGATGTTTCATCACAGCAACAGTAACCCTTAACTAAGACAAGTGGTCCATGGGAGCTAAGGTTTCTTATACATTTGGAGACAGGGATATTTTGTTATTGTCTGTGGCAAAGTAAAGAGAAAACATTTTTAAGTCAACACTATATATAATTAAAGCTATTTAATAAAAAGTTCAAAGACCATGCAAGGATCCAGGCTAGAATGTGAAGCAACTGCCTTATCAGGGACCCCCCCCCTTCCCCCATAGAGCAGCAGGAAGCTAACTGAGAAATGCAGCTAAGTGACTATCCTGTGCCTCTCTGATTAGAAACAGGCTGCTCTCTGCAGTTTGATTAGTCGTGCTTGTCACTATGGCCTTTCAGCTTATTAAAACTGATGATGCTATGTGCGTCCCTGACCTATACACAGGGAACCTAGAAGGTCACATTTGACACATGGAACAGCTCTGAGAAGAAAGGCTATGCTTTTATAGAATTGGTGGAATTAATGTTCACTTTATTCAGTTATTTTAATGTTCATTTGTGTGTGTGTGTGTGTGTGTGTGTGTGTGTGTGTGTGTGTGTGTGTGTGTTGCACATACCAAACTCACACAGCATGAGTGTGCAGGTCACAGAGGACAGACAGCTCCTGGGAGTTGGCTCTTTCCCTTCACCAGGTGGGTTCCAGGGCTCGAACTCAGATCATCAGGTTTGGTAGCAAGCATCTGCAGCCCCTGAGCCATCTCACCAGCCCTGCAGCTTATTTGATAATACTGTTTGGAATAGCTTTGGTTTCTTTTCAACCTTCACTTCCCCATTTTATACTTCTCTCTTCTTCATGAGGTTACCAGATTTTAGGAGACAAATCCCAAATAACAGGGCACAAAGAAAAATGAAGCAAGTGTGCCAGGAAAACAATGTGCCAGGGAAATAATATGCCCTCGTTGGATATAACAGTCCTGGTTTATGCCTGTGGTCCAGGTAATTACTAATGGCACTTCCTTCACCCTCAGAAGTGCCCTATTTGGACAAGTTATATGCTCACCCAAATGAGAGTGGTAGAGGTGACCAAGCTGGAGAGCAGGTGGCCATCTAAGCAGCACAGCTGCTACCCACTTCCTGCTAATTGCTGCTGAGTCCAGTGCTGCCACACATTCCAGTCTTTCAAGAGAAGCCAAAAATCTGGGTCCTCACACTTTTTAAATGTTGCAGCAATTAAAAAAAAAAAATAGTCTGCTCTTTGAACTTAATTTAGGAATGCCGAATTTGCAAGCCGTGGCTTAAAATCTACAAAGGTGGCTTTGGTATCTGCACATGTGTGTGTGCCTGCGTGTGTGCGGGCATAGTGCCTGAGTCTGGCAAGATGGCTTCGTGGTTGTACTTGCCGCACAGAGCTTTGCAACCTGAATTCAATCCCCAGAACTCATGTAAAGGTGGAAGAAGAGAACCGACTCCACAAAGCTGCCCTCTGACCTCCACACACTGGCATTCCCCTACCCAACAATGCACAAAAAGCTTGAAAATGGAGATTAACCCTTCTGTGAGGGGCTGGAGACGCAGCTCACTTGATAGAGTGCTTGCCTGACATACATGAAGCCTTGACCCCAGCGCCACATAAAACAGGGCATGATGGCACACTTGTAATTCCAGTACTTGAAAGTTGAAGACAGGAGTATCAGCAGTTCAAGGACGTCTTCAGCTACATATTGAGTTCTAGGCCAGTCTGGAGCACATAAAACCCAGTCTTCTCAGAGTACAGAATGGTCCTCAGGCAATGATCTCCACCAGAAAGGTACAAATCACCTTGCTCAACCAGTTTTGTGGATGGTAAGTTTTAGGTCTTAAGAATGAAAGTGTTCTTTCCTTTGAAAGGCATCTTAGTCTACTTAGACAGCTCTAACAAAGAACCAGAGACTCAGTAGCTTTCTTGTGGTCTGGAGGCCAGAAGTCTTAAGATCAGTGTGGCAACATAGTTGGGTTCTGGTGAAGATCCTCCTCCAAAGGCAACTTCAGCCGGGCTTCAAACGTGGATCCTGAGGAAGGCGAACAAAAGAAAAGTTCACTGTGCGCTCCTCTTGCCAGAGCAGGGGAAATTGCTTTGAGATCAGCTCTAAAAGGTGGTAATGATAGGAAATGGAACTGTGTAACAGAAAAAAAAAATAGTAAATATAATAGTCTTATATCTTCATAGAATAAAGACTAGGAAGCTCTCTTTTATAAGGGCACTAATCCCATTCATTGAGACTGCTTGTGTTCTAGTGACCTAAATTACCTTCCAACATTCCAGCCTCATTTGCGGCTGGGACTCCAACACACGGCATTAGGGATGATTCCAGCATCCTGCCCATGAGGACTTAAGATTTGACACATTCTTTCTAGTTACCATGTTGGCTTTCTTGCATCAAAACTTCTGTTTTGGGTTGGGCCTGTGCCCTTCCAGGGTCAGCATCTATTCATTTCCTAGGACTCATTTTCCAACAATCCCTTCTGTCCTTACAAAAACCATCTGTCCCAAGGATATTACAGCTGTTTTTGTAAGGGAAGGTGTGATGCTACACCTTCCAGTATCTCACTCAATGTGCCCCGGCAGGCACATTGAGAACCAATTACTATTTGTCAAGTGAGCAAACATCCTCAGAATAGTCAAGGCCTTATCCCGAGAGGTTAGCCCGCTACGCTGGTTAGGAGTAACTTGCAAGCTAGGACCTGAGCACAGTGGTAGTTTTATCTCGCTTTATGCTAGGCAAGCTCCCAGTGACCTGGCATATTACTATTATTTTTTTTTTCTGTTACTCAGTTCCACTTCCTATCATTACCACCTTTTAGAGCTGACCTCAAAGCAATTTCCCCTGCTCTGGCAAGAGGAGCGCACAGTGAACTTTTCTTTTGTTCGCCTTCCTCAGGATCCACGTTTGAAGCCTGGCTGAAGTTGCCAAGGAGTTCAAATGGCTCCATGCTCTGTATGATTCAGAGGGATTAACCACCCTTTCTGCACTGTCTTCCAAAGGCTCGCCTCTTTCCCCGAGCTCTTCTCCCCTGCTGTCTGTTCCTTTGTCTGTGAAACACATTTTCTCTTATTATCACCTTGTTCCCTGCCCGCTTCGGATGGCTTCGGCTCATCTCTTAACAGAATCAAGATGTTGCTATTAACGGTCTTCTCTTTTTTAACAGCTTAGAGTCATTTCTTTATATTTAGTCCTTTCCCTCCTTCCCTCCCAAACCACATAATCATCTCTGCTTCAAATAAAGTTTTATAGCCATTTCATAACCATGGCTTTATAGTTGCTATCAAAAAAGCACAAGAAGGGGAGATAAAAGCAGCAAAGGGAGGAAAAACTAAAATAAGAGGTGAAGGGTTGAAGGCTACTCTAATAATTGAGAAACCAGGCCAGCATCTTCTGGATGCCTCTGTGAAGGAATCCAGGGGACTCTGAGTCCTCAGGCCTATGAACTGCAAGCTTGGTGGTCTGGTGAAGCTTCCCTTCAACTTTTATGGGTGGGTAGGAAGGTGGTCTCTCCTCCTAGGACCCGTTTTTCCTTCCAAATAATTAAAACACTGTCTTAGAATTCTCCCAGCATCATTCATGCTGGCCATAAATCCTTTCACAGAATCCAATTACATGATAG